GGAAAATACTGGAGATATTCTCAAACTCGATTTTCAAAACAAATTCGTCTGACAATCCAGATATTTGACTGCTATATTATTAAAATTTAAATAAAGTTATACTACTAGTTTGTTTAGCGAATGTCATGATGACGGGACTTATATTTTTTTTAATTTTTTAATGAGAATTATAGTTGTATACGATTAAAGAGACCGATGTTTTCTGCTTTTTGATTACTTAGTATTTTTAACAAATATGGGTAACACTGCGTTTTATATTCAATAATGAAATTTTTATTTTTCTTTAATTTGAAATAGTTGAAATAGGCAAACAAAAATGCCGCAGCAACTTAATTTTTTTAATTAGAAGTTCTGTTGTTTGACAAAAGGGTGTACTGGCTATGACATCACCAAACTGAAGAGAAAGAAATATGAAATATGTTTGTTCACACAAAACTTTTGCGGTGATAATAAAAGTAACTTATGACCAGCCATTCTATCAAAAAATGTACCTTGTTTATAAAGCACCCTGTATCTAGTTATTTGTTGATATCTACGACTTATGTCAATGAACTACAAAAAAACACTTTAGTAGTCTACCTGCACTTCCCTAAAAAAGTACATGTGCGTCGGCTATAACTTTAATTTTAACTAATTTAGACACAAAGGTGATCGAAAATATATTAAAAAAAAAATCAATATTGCCCTGTAGTTAGTTACAAGCGAAAACAAATGAAGATACCAAACATCTGATTTAACAATTGAATTTGCATTGAAAAGCGAACTCGTAGACGTATCACCTGTTATTTTTAGTAATTTCTGAGATTCTATCGAATTTGACTCATTGTCATTGGTATGCTCGGTGGTATGTTCCATGCAATCATTTCCTTGAACTGATATTAAAAAAAAAATAGTATTTCAAAAATCAAGTGCGTGAACTAATCATAACACAACTAGAAAATATGGTCTCTAGTGTTTATGTTCTTTTAGTTATATTCACATTTTTTTTTTTTCGGCTAATCAGATTCAGAGACAAATGACATATCACCTACTCTTGGGACAATCACCCTTTTAGCCCAACAACATACTGACAACATTTTGACAGTAGGTAAAACTTGTACAAGGAACACTATATAAGAATTTTATCGGTTCTCATTTTGGTCATAGTACGTCCAAACAGAAACCCTATCTATTATAAATATTGGTAATGTGGACGAAATGCTACAACAAAATATGTTACTTAGATGCTATTAAACATTCAGTTTCTTAGTGTATCGATTCGTATACTCAAGGAAAGAGAAAGCAGAAAAGACTGTATTGCCGTGGAGTTAGCTACAGGTATCCCTTGTTGCCAGGATATTTAGGGATAGAGCCCACTTTAGGATTTCATATCGTTCTTGTTCCCCTACCCCGTGTTGTAACAGACTTTCGGGAAATAACCAGATGGGGACAGAAGAAATATTCAACAGATATCGCAATGTATAAAGCTCTAAAGACGTTTTTTATTAATCAATATACATATTATACACGAAAAAAAGTGCCTTGTAAAAAATGTTTTATTCTCGTTTTTTACAAAAATCTGGCAGTTATAAACACGTAAAAAAGCGTTTTAGTAAACATAATTCCACAAAAAAGTTTATTACTTTTATTGCAGAAAAAAAACATTGTCCTACTTAATTATACAACATAATGAGCGTTCAAATCAAAACGTGGTCAAGTTGGTTCTGAAAATTTGGACGTAGGGCGTAGCGTATAGCAAATGAACTTAAACGTCATCTGTCAAAGCGCTATATCGCCGCTATCAATTTGAATATTTTCGTTTTAAAAAGCGTTTAAAATGGTGTTTTCTCAAGAACAAAAAGTGTTTATCATAGAGTCCTACTTTAGAAATGGACGCAAGATTGATGGAATATGGAAGTATTCTATTGAGGAATGTTTCATAGAATTTCAAAATCAATTTCCCGGCATTGTTGAGTACAAAATTTTTCAAAGTGCAGTTCAGCGTTGTGTTAATGTTTTTCGTTAAACAGGCAGTGTAACAAGAAAAGAAGGAAGCGGCCGACCTAAAAAGCGGACTGAAGAATTAAAAGAAAATGTCCAACAAATAATGGAAAATGCGCCAAGAACTTCTGTACGTGTTTTATCACAAATGGTGGGAGTATCAGTCGGTACCTGCCACACAGTGTTAAAAAAAGATTTGCGTTTGTTCTCCTATCGTTTAACTTGTCAGCAAGATTTTCCGCGACGGGCTGTATTTTGTGAATGGTTTTTAAACAACTACGGTGAACTTCATAATATCACCTTTTTTTTTATGAAGCCTGGTTTCATTTAAGTGGTTACGTAAACTCACAGAATATGAGAATGTGGTCTTCTGAAAAACCAGATAACTTTTTTGTCGAGGGCCCCCTACACGCTCAAAAAATTGGAGTTTGGTGTGCTCTCAATCGAAGGAGGATTTATGGACCTATTTTTTTTAATGGTACTCTTACTGCGCAAAGGTATAGAGAAGAAATTATCGCTCCTTTTGTTAACCAGCTGGAAGAAAACGAAATTACAAACTTTTACTTTCAACAAGATGGCGCAAGGGCACATACGGCAGGCGAGACGATGAATATGTTGAGGGAAGTTTTCCAAAATCGACTAATAAGTCTCAATGCTGAACATGAATTTCCACCGAGGTCATGTGATATTACGCCGTGTGATTTCTTTTTGTGGCCTTACCTTAAAAACACTATTTTTGAACTGCCTATTCCTGATTTAAACCATCTGCAGGCTTGGTGTGAAAAGTGCTTGGAACAAGGAGGGGGACACTTTCAGCAGCTGCTTTAATTTATTGTTATAACAAGGAGGGGGACACTTTCCGCAGCTCCTTTAATTGTTAGTTATTGTTATCACGATTGTTCTTTAAAATAAAGTTATATAGTCATTAACGTTATTGAAACTGACAGCTGCTAAGTTGGTCGCTATAAGCTACTCCCTACGTCCAATGTGTCAGAGCCAACTTCGACCATGTTTTTATTTGAACGCTCGTTATATATATATAACTCCGTGTTTGTACTAGAAACGTATTTAAATTTACTAAATATTTATTACAAAGTATATGTCGAGGTAAAAAAAAAATTACCATATTTGATATTCTCTGCAAAAATTTTTCAAAAAATATTTAGATTAGATTTTACATGCGCGGTAAAACTACTTTTGTTACACCTGTGGTTTTTATAACATTATTATATTGAATTAGTTGGCTTTAGTTCTGTCACATATTATGCAGACGTGATAGGTATTGTTGTTGGTACCCATTCTGGCTGCGAGTAGGTAATTCTATAAAATCACGATAAATAGATTTGTTTGAAAAACTAAACGATATGTCAATACGATGTCAAAATATATTATTCTTAGCAGTAAAATGTAAGTGATATCGCCTTTAATACTATTTTCCAAATTCGTTTGTTGGCTGCTCTTGAGTATCTACTGTTTGTTTTTTATATCCAAATTGTACTATTTTCTTAATATAGATACTTTTGTGTGTTAATTTTTCAACTTTAATTAATTGAATTACTATTTAAGAAAAAAGTTATGCGTAATAATTTGTAGTCAATACCTATTTTTTTCTATACATCAAGGCGGTAGGTATCCAGAAAATTTGTAAATATTTTAACATTATGTCACAAATCAATTCAAAAAAATCTTATAAACGTAAACATGTGGTCCTTACACGGTTCGTTTTCGAGATACAGGGTGTTGAAATGAAAAAATATATACCACATTTATTTATTCATATATCTCTTGAGGTAGATTGATAAAACTTGGGCTAATTAATGAGCAAGAATATGCTGATTTGTACACAAATGTCGACCACTAGCAGAGATACTGAAATACACCGAAATGAACTATTTTCTACGAACATTACGAAAAAAACAAGAGCAAGAATTCCCTTAAAATCAAATATCCGTTCCATTGGACCACTGAGAGAAGCGTATTTTATTTCTATCCGACTTTTATTCTCGTTCATTTATTTGATTTATGCGCCCCAAATAAATGCCAACCATTTGTATCTAATTATAGCCCATTTAGCATGGAACTTTTGCCTCTTCGTTTGGACAGAAAGCTTTTAAGATGAATGATGTTTATTGGAATGTAATTGCTAATGCTCACTTTTTTTGGAATTATAATAGAGCAATTTGCCCCTGCCGATTTCTAAACAGTCATAGGATATCTTCTTCAAATATTTTTTGCAAATAATTAATTTTTACTCTCAAAAGAATTAGTTAATCCATGTGCGGATAAAGTTTTGTGATATCGAATATGGATTACTTTAAATTCACATTACCGCTTTTCGAACTGGAAATATTTTAATGTATCTTATCCGCAGACGATGAACTCTGTCTATATTTACGTGTGCTACTTCATTTTAAACGAAATAATATTTATTTTTTACAATATTCGTTAATCGATAGATAATTTGTTTGCGGCAAACGGAATTCAAAAAGGGTTTCGGTTATTATCGGATTTATCGGATTTTTGGTATTTTTCATATAACTTCAAATTGCTGATTTTAGTTCCTTTTGAAAGTAGATTCTTTTCCAAAACTCATCATTAAATCTTATCGTATCAAGGCTACCTTTAGGTAATCAATACTTACGTATCCTAATCAAACAAAACCAAACAATTATTTTTTTTTATAACATAATCCGACACTTAATCATACCAACTAAAGTTATGACTATGATTATTAAAAAATGATAAATATGATAAAACAATTTGTTCGCATAGTTATTTATATTTAGGCGCATAAAATATCAAAATTCTTACTAGTTTGAGAAATTCCTACTATTTTTAGCTTCTTGAGACAAGCTGATAAATAACTAGGATATAAAGTGTTATTTTGTGTCATTTTGTAAACCGAAAATAAAATAAAACACAAATAAAAATGTGCTCGAGTACTGCTAACTGCTGCAATTAGCGGTTATGGAAAAAACAAACGACTCACAAATAACGCAAAGATACCTGAATCGTTTTACCTTCGTATTCGTCTTTAACTAGCTTTGATTGATACTCGCGTAAAGCTGTCATCAAAACACTCCTTTCTTCCCCATTCAGTCTTAAAATTAGTTCTTGAGCCTGTAGTTTAGATAAGCCCTGTGTTGTACTCGTCGTTTCCGCGTGGCCCGCACTTCCCAAAACTACCGAATTAACACTAAACTTACAGATATTTACATTTAAATTATTTAAATTCGCACTTTTACAAAATTTAGTCAATCTAGTTTTTTGGGTTAAAAATCTCGGAACTACAAACTTACTAAATAGGTTACCTAAAGGTGGAGTTGTTACAATTTTTGCGGCCATGGTATATTTAAAAATTTAATTTTATATTTGTATATAACATCACGTAAATTTAGGTTAAACCGAGCAGAAACATACACCGACTTTCCAGACCGACTGAAGCATAGATTACAGAGAGACTGAGGTATTTTGACAATTGACAATACTCTTGTCGAGGACTCACTTGGGGACGTTTTTGATGCGCATGCGTATTGCGTTGATATCCGCAGAAAGGCGGGAAAGGACGATTTGAGGTTTGGTCACAGTCATCAAGGAAAAATCCTTGCACAGTCATAAGAGTAAATAAATATTACTCATATGGGCACAGTATGAAAAGAAAGTCTATACTGTAATTTGGGTTTGACATTAGAACATTATCTGAAGGTATTGTAATTAAAACCATTTAAAACTGTTTGTTAGAACAATATAGTCCAATTAACTAAGCCTTTAAATCGAAATTTTGCCAACTTGGCTGAATTTTTGATATGAGTTAGTTTAAGGTATATTATAACAATAAGTGAGAGTAATTTTTTGTTCAACCCCCGGCCAAGGGTGGAAAAAGATAAAACAAAGGGCTTTTTCATGATAACTCAAAAAGGGTAAGAGCTAGAAAAAAAAGTGAAAGTTGTAAAGCAGACAATTCTACATAAAAATGGCCTCTTAACTTTTTCTTGTACTATTACAATTAACAGAGTTAGGGAGGCTAGAAGTTAAGGGAAGATTTCAGAAATTTAAAAAAAATCATAACAAACAGAAAAATGATTGAATTTTGTAATTTTTTTTTTCAATCTGCTCTAAAATATGTAACTTTTCTTTTCAGAGAAATAGATATATTTTTTAATTTTTAATAAGAAAGTTATAACAAAAAATCAAATTTTTAATCGTTAATTTTAATGATTTAACAAAATTAAATTTCTGAAATCTTCCCTTAACTTCTAGCCTCCCTAACTCTGTTAATTTTAATAGTACAAGAAAAAGCTAAGAGACCATTTTTATGTAGAATTATCTGCTTTACAACTTTCATGAAAAACTTTTTTTTCTAGCTCTTACCCTTTTTAAGTTATCTTGAAAAAGCCCTTTGTTTTATCTTTTTCCACCCTTGGCCGGGGGTTGAACAAAAAATTACTCTCACTTATTGTTATAATATACCTTAAACTAACTCATATCAAAAATTCAGCCAAGTTGACAAAATTTCGATTTAAAGGCTTAGTTAATTGGACTAAATAGTTATAATAAAATTATACCTAAGAGAAGCTTTTGAGTTTGAGAGATTTATTCGAAATATTCAAGGTGCCAGGAAACAAGAAGATGAAATAGCAAATAAAGAAATAAGAGTAACCAAGAGGAAAATGGAAAAGCAGGAATATTTTCCTATAAATAAACGTCGAAAGGTAATTATGTTTGAATTATGTAGGTAATACGTTTTATGATACCTAGATATTTATATTGATTTATTTTACTTATATTTATATTAAATACTTGTTTTTAGTAATGAAGACATATCGACAATAATAGTATGAAAAATGTATACTTAATTTTCTTCAGTCTTTTCTGTAGAACATGTTTCCGAAACGTTGGGGAAATATTTTTTATATTGTTTTTTACTTTCATTTTAATTATTTGTCAAAAACGACCACTGGTATTAATATTGTATAAGTAATAATTATAATAGGTAAATATTTTATTGTTATATAAATCTTGTAAATTAAACAACTAAAATTTATAAACTCGTACTTATAACCCAGACAGCACCATATATTCCGAGAATATTCTCTAAACCTTTTAAAAAGATTATATATATTCTGAATAAATCTAGAATATTCATAGAATATTATGCTTATAAAATATTCGTGGAAGTTTCCTTTATAAATATACGTATGATATTCTCCATAGATATGCTAATAATAATATCTCAGGAATATTCTTCAATTGATATTCCTAGTACATTCTCAATAGGATATCCGTAGTTTAAAAAAATGAAATGTTTATTTAATAGGTAAAACAGGAAAAACTGAATACATATTCTAGTTTAACGGTTTGAGGGCACTATATCATTATTCCAATTTTATGCAAAAAGTTGAAAATTAATCAAAATATTATGTTGTTAATGTTGGTAGTACTTTGCCTGTCATATGTTTTGTTTTTGTAGTTGGTAGGTAATTCATTGCAGTTTGTTAGCAATGTTATTGTCCATCAACCAATATATTATAATTTTTGTTGTACCGAGTACATTTCAATCAATTTACAATAATAAGTGTTGCATAAACAATGAATTATTATTATTAAAGCGTTTTGTATTTTGCACAAAGCAGGTTTAATGCTTTGTGGTGTTTGGTATGTTTAAGATTGATTAGAAGCTGACAAAATGGCAGAAAGAAGAAAGGAGACCATTTAAGCTACAAAGTAAGTTTTCTTTAAGGTTATACTATTATTTGTTTATTTTAACGAAATGACAATAAAATGAAATAAATGTGGTATGTAAGTTATAACAAAATATGTGGAAAAATAAAAACCTATTTATATAATAAATTGTCAACGTTCTATTATCGGCCTGTTCTTTTAAAATGCAAATTGTAAAAGGTTCCTACGAATATTATTAGTTCAAGTTTTTACCACATATTGACATAGTCCAGCAAAAATAAAATGCAAAAATATATATTTTTGTTTCAGAATTGGTAACCAAAAAGAAATAGACAGAGATGCTAGAATGTTATTAATGAAAAAAATTAAATAAATAAATAAACAGTTAACCATTTTATTATTAAGAGTTGTTATTACCCCCGTCCCATATTATATTTTTAGCCCTGAATATTAGTCCAATTAAATGGTCCTTTAAATCGCAATTTTGGTTAACTTGCCTGAATTTTTGATTTTATTCAAATAAAAAATTCAGGCAAGTTGACCAAAATTGTGATTTAATGGCCCATTTAATTGGACTATATTCACAGTAAAGTTTAAAATATAGGTAGATAGAACATTATTAACATGTTCAGAGAACATACCCAGAAATATTTGTGTAATAGGTATCTATCACATTCAATCACATCTATCATATATTCTAGGTACATTCTTATCATAATCTCACTAATTAAATATTGTACTAAGTATATTCATCTAAGATTATTCTTATTGTAAACATTCTATGTATATTCCTTGAATATTTGTAAATATTTACAGAATATTTCAAAATGTATATTCTAAGTTTTCTGAGATATTCCAATATGATGGTTCTATGAATATATAATACCAAATCAGCTATAGGCGTATATAAGCCAATACTGTCTAGCAGGCGTAAAAAAAATACAGAAGTATTTGAAAGGCGTATGAGCATACGCCTTTCTGATATTATAGTTTTGCAAAATTGGTTCATACGCTTAAGTAAAATGCGCTAGAATAGAGTGTTGATGTTTATGAATATACAGTACGTGCCTAAGGTATGGAATAAATTCAGTAAAAACAAAACAAATTTTTTTTGGGAAAAATTCTCGAACAGGTCAATTTTTAATTTTAAAAATACATATTTTAGCATAAAAGGCGATTTTCAACCGTCATTTGTTTTCGAGTAATGACGTCATCGACATTTTTTTTAAATAGCAACCCTATTTTTTTTCTTGATTCTGAAAGATCGTTTCATTGTCGATCCGACAGTATTAAAATGTTGCCATCTTACATAGGAAAGTTTTCGAGTAAATGACGATTGAATGTTAGAAAACCCAAATCAATTAAAATAAAGCAAAAACGTTATCAAATTTAGTTTTTCGAAATGCCTGAAGTTTTTTATGGATCACGTAGGTGTAAATCTTTACAAAGTGTCACTGTCATACCGACTTTCTAAGTATTGTAAGCGATATAAAAATTATTGTTGAATTTAAAGTATTATGGCACATTTAACTGTCACACAAAGAATTGAAATTTTAATTCTTATCGGATGCGGGGATAAGACTAGAACGCAGCAGGAAGTTTGCGATTTATTTAATGAAAAACATCCAGATCGCCGTATCAGCCAATCAACAGTCAGTAAGATAGAATCTAAATTTAGAGAAACTGGCAATGTTGTAGATATTCCAAAACCTGGACGTCCAAGCGTTAGTGAAGATCACAAACAGAACATTTTGATAAGTATGGTAGATAATCCTCATAATACTTCACGATTGGTTGCATTAAACAATGAAATTAGTCAGACCACAGTGCTACGTATCCTGAGGCAGGAAAAATATCATCCCTACAAAATTCAACTTGTGCAGGAACTCAATGAAGACGATCCCGACCGCCGCTTACACTTTTGTGAAATTATGATGGATTTATGTCAAGTAAATAGAGATTTACACCGGCAAATACTTTTTTCAGACGAGGCCACGTTTTGTCTCAATGGTACAGTGAACCGTCAAACTTGCAGGTATTGGAGTCGGGAAAATCCTCATTGGATGGCAGAGACACATACCCAACACCCACAGAAATTAAATGTGTGGGCTGGAATAGTTGACAACAGAATAGTAGGGCCTTTCTTCTTTGAAGGAACCCTTACAGGAGAAAGATATTTAGAGTTTTTACAAAATGACCTTGTTCCAGCGCTTGCAGTAATTTTTCCTAACGATAATGACCCTGATATTCCTGATGACACCATATGGTTTCAGCAAGACGGTGCACCTCCGCACTATGCGCGCCCTGTTCGAGATTTTCTGGACAATTGTTTTCCTAGGAGGTGGATCGGCAGACGAGGACCGATAGAATGGCCCGCGAGATCCCCAGATCTTACACCCCTGGACTATTTCTTATGGGGCTACTTAAAGTCCAAAGTGTACGTTAATAGACCACATAATTTAGAAGAACTCCAAAATTGTATTATAGATGAAATACACAGAGTTACCCCAGAAATAATTCATAATGTGCAAGAAGAATTTCTACACAGACTTACGTATTGTCAAGAAGTCGGTGGGTGGCACAATGTATCAAAAAAATTTGAAATCAATCAAAAAAAATAGTCTGATCTTATTAACATTTTGGTGTACCTAACTTATAGGGAAATGGCACTGTTGGTAAAAAAAAATCTAATTTTGCTATATTTCCAAGACTATTTGCAAGGATTGAATCTCGGAAAACTTTTTTCCACATCAACAAACAGAGCCGCCTTCAAAAATGTTTACAAGACAAGTGACCACCGAGCTTAGGCAACCAACATTGCACAGTTGGTACTGGTAACAAAAAGTCCCTAGATCTTGGTGTCATCGCTATTAATTCTCGTTTACAGTGAACAATGACAAACCATTCCGTCTACAGTAAAATGCGATAGCCGATTGGTTGAATAGTGAAAAATTACACCAATCACAGCCATTTTAATGTAATCTTGATCTTATTATTTCAAAAACTTTTTATTTTACCGAAATTTAATTGCCAACGTGAAGTAAATAAAATTACTGTTCCAAGCAAAATTATTGAACAAGTGGCTTGTAAACATTTATGAGGCTCTGTATATCGTCACTTACAAGAACCGTTTGACCCATATCCATTAATTATACCGTGTGCGTTTACATTTTCTTTACTTTTTTTAGTTTTATTTTCCTGTTTGATCACTTTCTTCGAAATCTTAGTGAATTTTTTTTTGTGCTCTTATATAACTTTTTTACTCTTTAAAACCCTGAATATCATAAACAAAACGGCAATACACAGTTGTCGATGGCAATTAATTGCCTTATTGATAAACGAGAGGAATTCTGACGAGCGACGGTACATGTTGTCTGAAACACCCTGTAAAAAATTAACTCGTAATTTCGTACCCTCCAAAAACGCTGTGCTATTCAATTAAAATCACCCGAGTCCGGAACCGCAAGAAAACGCAAACGAAACCATAACTTAAACAAATTTTATTGTTGCATAAATAAATGTACAAGTGATAGCTAGCTAAAAAAACAGAGAAGAAGTCACACGTGAAATATATATTTTGAGGGATTTGGGGACTTAGTTGCTAATGGGGCGTAACGCTATTAAATAATCTGTCTTTGATCATCTGGGCCATCAGGCCGTGAATAATTTCGATGGTGGTTTTGCAGCTGTCTTTGGTAGCCTTCAGGAGTTTGTCCTCCGTCCTCTTTTCGTGAGGGTCCGCCCCGCCCACGATGAATCCACCTCGACCTAAAAAATTACACGAGGTTTAAAGGTTACAGCAATCATACTTTCACAAATAATATGTATGAGTTCTGCCCGAACCATTCTCATTTGCTGTCTGATAGGAAACGAGGCATAATTGTTACAGTTCCAAAATCTAGTGAGGCCAAAAACAATCTCGTTTGTTCTCCGATAATATTTGCAAATTTTCTTACTTTTCAGAAACGGTAACGCTCTCGGCACCACTGGTGCACATGTTTAATCCGAATTTAATGGATAGGATTCAATTTGCCAGAGATATATAAGAAAAGGCGATTTTCTTTTTAATTTCCCATTTTTCCCTGTATTTTCCCTTATATTTCTACAAATTCAGCAAAAAAATTAGAGCAGAAAAATTTCCAAATTTTTTTAGTGTTCTTTCAAAGGCTGTAACTTCGTGAATAATGAAGCATCTTGAAGCTTCAAGATTCTAGTTTTGAAGTCTTGAGGAAAATTTTTTTAAGCATCACTCGGTGCAATTAAAAGAAATAATGCAATGTAAAAATTTTACAATTGTTTTTTCTTCAAAACTACACAGGGGGTCAGAAAGATTTTTTAAGTCTTCATAAATGCCAGGTTTATTTAGCCTGATTCATCGGCTTCAATTTTTTTTTTTTTATTTCCTGTATGATTATTTCTCATCGAAAAATTTTTTTTTAATACCCAGCATTAAATTGAAAATATGCAAAAAAAAATGGCTTGTTCGGCTGTTTTGGAAAATCAACGACTACTTTGCAAACATTGCGAAAAGTACCAATGTTTGTAAGTTTTTTTTAGCTCAATACATGCCCACGAGGCCTGAAATTTTGAAATCGATCGGTCCAACCGTTTTCCTTTTCTGAATCAAGGTTTTATAAAAAATTTACGAAACAGGTTTATTGCTCCTTAAACATCAATTAATGACTAAGATGAAACAAATTTTTTTGCGTTATTTTTCTCACAATTTCCCTTTAAAAATGATTGAAATCTCGAAAAAAAAAATACAAAATTTTAAAATAAAATCAAAATTTTTAAAAACAAATATAAAAAAAAAATTTACATTCGAAATATTCAATGTAAAACTGTAAAAAGGATGCAAAAAATTTTAAAAAACTATTTTTTTTATCAAACGAATTTTTTTTTTAAATTTTAAATTCTTTTTTTCAGTACTTTTGAACTTTTTTAAAATTAAAAAAAAAATTTCTCGACATTTGAAATTTTCAATGTAAAACTGTTGGATGCAAATAAATTTAAAAAATTTTGAAAAATTTGATTTCTTTTTCAAAACTGAATTTATTTTTTCAAACTTTTTAATTTTTTTTCGTTTCGTATTTAACGCGAAATTGTGAGAAAAATAACGCAAAAAAATTTGTTTCATATTAATCATTAATTTATGTTTAAGGACTAATAAACCTGCTCCTTTAATTTTTTTGTAAAGCTTTGACGATCCAGGAAAGGAAAACGGTTTCGACCCATCGATGTCAAAATTTACAGGCCTCATGGGCATTTATTGAGCTAAAAAAAAAGCAACAAACACTGGTATTTTTCACAATATTTCCAAAGTAGTGGTTGATTTTCCAAAACAGCAGCGCTCAAAAAAAATTTTCATCTAAAGATTTGAAAACTAGAACCTTCAAGTTTCAAGGTGCTTCTTTTTTTTCGCTATGACCATTATTCATGACGTTAAAGTCTTTCAAAAATCACTAAAAAAAATTTGGAATCCTTTAAATTTTTTGCCGAGAATATTATAATCGCCCATAATTGTTACATTCCTGTATATTCTCGATTTATTCTTGTTTGTTCATAGGAATATTCTCTAAAAATAAATTATCGAGAATGTTGCATCCAGAACTGATCACAGGCACACAAAAAAAAAGTTTCGTCCTCAGTAGAATGTATTCAGCCGCAGAGTACAAATGTGAATCAGAATTGCGTGATTAGATCAGGATTTTTTTCTAATATCTAAAAGTTATTTTCTAATGAAAAGCTATGTAGCGAAAAGTGAAAATTACCAAATAAGTCACCACTTCATTTTCCTACATTTATTTTAGTTTTTAGTTTATCGTTTTACGAGAAGGTGCTTGTAATGCGGCAGGTAATTCCCCGACTTTCTGCATTGAGCTTTTGCATTATACATAAGTTTCGAATGAAATTGAAATACAGGCCCTTCATAAAGTGTACAACCTTATAAAGTTATTTATTTCAGTGTTTAGTGACAGTATGGCGTGTTTGTGCGTGTTCATTGTTCTGTCATGGGCCACTTGGTTTAACCGATAATCTACGTATATTATTTTTTAACATGACAATGTAACACTATTTATTAAAAAATTCCAAACTTACCTATAGCTGCTTCGGACTGTTCCAACTTTTCAGACAAATCGAATATCTGACAAGTCGTATAATCAGCATTGGTCAGCAAACTAGACGAACTCAAGGTATTCACCCAGTACTTATTCCAGAGCGAGTCCAACAGCCGTCTGTCCAAAGCCGACTTGAAATAGGACACTTCCAAGGAGTAGTACTGTTTGCAGTGAACGCCAAAGTCCTCGATTTTATTCAGAGGAATCGTTTGGTACTCGGACGGTTCCTCGTTTGCCGGTTTGTACCCCTAAAACGCATTATTATTAAAATTGAGTAAAATCGTGGTCGTTACACGAACAATAAATTTAATTTCCCTGACATTCCTCTGTTTTTCAGTCAACCAAATGCAATTCTTCTTTGACTCCAACTACTTTTCGACACCAACTCAAAGGAAAATAAGATACCTTTTGCTTTGATTATATTTGTATAAAAATTTGCTTTTTAAAAACCCGAAATAATTTTAATTAAAAAAAATTACTATTAATTTCCTGTAATCGTTTTAAAACTTAATATTCGGCTGTCTTAGTTCTATTTTGAAAAAATTCGAGTAGGGACAAAATCAGTAAAAATAACGAGACTTTGCTGTATAAACTAATTTTGGAATCTCAATTTCTAAAATGTAGCATGTTAAAGTTGAAAAAAAAATTTTTTATAGCCAACCCTCAATGAAGACTTGCATTACCATAGCGATTTCCGGAAATAAACAAACACTTTATTTTACTGTAAAATCAAGCAGTTTACCTGACGCAAATATTTATTAACATAGCCATTATTGTATGACGCTGTCACAGCCCCAACAGTAAAAGTTTTATCGCGAATTATTTATAGAAAATGATAGAAGATATTCAGTGCGCGCTGTTTGAAGTTTGGGAAAAGTCGTTAGAAACGTGTTCAAATACAATCGTCAGCATGACATATTTGTGGAATGATGCAAGAAACACAGAATAAAAAAATATAGTGAAAATATTTTACTGGCATATTTTTTCGAGCTATCAAGCTTCTTCAATGTGGTCGTATTATTCCATGGTGAAAGCAAATGACATTGATACTAGTAAATATAAAAAACTTACAGCCTTTTTAAAACAAAAAGGAAAAAATCATATTCCAAAAGAGTCCAAAACTCTTTCACAAGAAAAAATACTTAAATTTTTACTAAATGCATCAGATAAAATCTACTTGATGATGAAGGTAAATTATATTAACTTTTCAAAAATAATTTGATACAAATGTAGTAGTTATTTTAGATTTCTGTTGCATTTGGCATTGGTGGAGCTTTACGTAAGGAATTTTTAAATTTAAAAGTAAATGACATAGAGCGCAAAGAAACAATTCTGGTTGTCCGTCTAACTTAAACAGATATCAACAGGTATCGAATATTTGTGATTACTTCAGAGTTCGAAGGAAAAGCAAAATCTGTAGAAAATTTAACAAATATTTAGCTCGCTTGGTACATAATCTCAGGCTCGTTCAATAAAGAATCACTTTACTGACTTGGTACATAAATAACTATTATTTACATCTCTGACAGTAATAAACAAACTGATTTAAATTTTATTTGTTCCTCGTATTTTTCCTGGAAATCTAACCTACATCTTCATCTAAAACTTATCTTACTTACTTTTGGATAAGTCCTGAAAGCTCCCAGACACACTTTTCCTGCCGAGATGGTTCGGACAGGATCGATTACTATCGCTACAAAAGGTTCTTGGAAATTCTGATTTAGCATTTGTGTACCCACATCGATCCCAGACAACCAACATCCATAACCCGGATGACTGTGGTACCATCCTATAGCGTTTTCTTGCCTACCAACCTACAAAATAGATTCTATTAGGACTAAAAATTAAAACTCATTGTTTCTGACAAAGTACCCCCAATAATATACTACTATTTCATTAATAATATTCGATAATTTTTATAACCACAGATTATTCCAAATAGAATTTAACACCATAATCTCTTCTCAAGCTCAATAAGTACAAACCAAATTAAAAGAACTTACCAATTTAGCCGCTTCAATATAAGAGCTCATGTATTCGTAGGCTTGCGCTTGGGCGTTGACTCTAGTTTCCGTGCCTTCAACGGGCAAAGCAAAAGAATCCATGACAAACATTGTATTTCCATCTACTTTCCCCAAAATTAAACCCATTACTTCCAGGGTACCTCCCGATCTTGCGTGCATAACCATTTTCAATAAGGCCAAAGCTGATATTTTTATGTCTTTGAAGAAATGTGGACTAAAAAAGGGAATTGCCATAACCTCTAAATAAAAAGTCACGTAAAACTTACTCTTTGTCCCAAGGTTTTGCTGCCAAGATGTCTTGTTGTTGCTTTTTATCGTATCGATATATTTCATCCACGGAACTGACCACTTCTACGTTGTTAGCCATTTCCCAGTTCTTTTGCGCTATTTGTGCTTGGTTGCTGTCACAAGCCGCTGTCTCGGAGGAACTGCCAGGTTTAGACATCTTTACTTTGCACTGCAAATATATAATATATATACATATATAATAATACTTTTGTTATTATATATAAAAAATGATTTATACATAATAATACTAACCTGTTTTGTAATCGTAATTTATTTACACATATATTATTATAACCTAAACGCTTCTGCCAAAATCGATTTCAACTTCAACTCGACTTGCAAATGCTAATTGCAAAGCAAAAACAAAACAAAAAGGAAAATAAAGGATGTGTCTACAATCACAAATTAATAGGAATATTCGATTCGTTGTTCGTTTTCTTTTTACTTAACTGCTTTCACTTCACTTTACTGTAAACCTGTAACTCTACTCTATAGAAAACTTTTATTGGACTATTGGAGTAAAAAGTGTGGGCTTTCCAGTTAGATTAAAGTTCGGAAAGCTACACCAAAATGTTCATTTAGGTACAATATTTTTATTTCTATAAATATTAAAAGTAAGGTTATAATATCGTCTTGTTTTGTGATCCTACTTTGAATTAAGCAAAATGAGTGATTCTGTAAATGATGGCGTGGTTCTTACGTTACTTATCTCTGAAATGAATTGATTGACATATTGACAATTTAACCTCAAAATGTATCGTGACCGAGGCGAGATAACTCCTGTGACGTACGTGATATGATACATATCCTTCAAATTTAGTTTTTAAAATTAAACAATTCACTCAGATGAGTCGGTGTTAACAAAACATTTCGGTTAGTTATTGTTTCACTTTAGTCAACAAATTCTTTACTGCTCTGCAATAAAACAACTACGTAAGTACACTTTATTTAATCCACAACAGTAACAGCCTTAATTTATATTAACAATACATATCCTGCATGAATGAGCTTCCAGTTTAAATTGTGTAATAATTTGATTTTTTAAATTACAGTTATACAAAATGCAAGCCTTATCTGAAAGTTTACAACCCTATAAGGATTTAGTGGGGCAAACTGCCAGCATAGTGACAATAGGGCAGTTTTTCTCAGGGGTTTTCGTATGCAAAGATATTTATAAAAAAGGATCCACAGCAGGAATTCCGGCGACTCCTTTTGTTGGAGGTATTGTCATGTAAGTTATTTGATGTTGAAAAAGAATTATCTTTAATTGTCCCTGAAACAAATTTTAAAATTTACTTTCTATATAACCACTTTTTAATTTTCGAAATTAATTACATTGTTTTATCTAAAATTAATGTAAATAATATGACAAAATATTGCTTGAATTGATAGCATCGTTCCAAAAAATCAGTATATAACGTATATACCTATAACAAAATTAATATTTTTAATTCATCAAAAAATTGTAAAATTTGTAAATATTTGGTAATGGAGTAAAATGATTATGATTTATAATTTCTTTTAATATCATTTACTTTATTAAACTAGGTATTTATTTTCTAAAATATATTTCATCATTTTAAACAAAATTTCCTATTAGAAAGTTTGGCTTAAATGATATTCATGCTCGACTGAATTGATTAGTAAATACTACTATGTACTATGTAAAAGCAGAATTATATTTTATTAAATTAGGAACGAGTTGCTAGTCATAAAATTGATATACAGATGGTTATACAAATAGTGTAACGCCTTTATAATTCTTCTAGATTTTATCTGATTTGATATTTGATGATGAAGATAAATCTATTTTTGTTGATAAATTAAACTCACTGAACTGCATTTAATGCGTATTTAATAGGGAAGACACTAAAATAGTTATAAAGGCAACATCAACATAAACATTTCCTTCGTATTTTGTTCTCATTTTTTTAATATATTTTTTGCAACTTATCATAACTGAATAATATTAAATTACATTTTAAGTAACATGAAATAAAATATGACATTGATTTTATTACTTTCGTTTACTTGAAACAAGTTGTTTTTTGAAAATTAAGAAACATTCATTATAGAAAAATTGTTTATAAGTGCCTATTTCATCATATTATCAAATTATCTTGCACATGATTTATAAAGACTTGAGATTTTTTAAAAACCTTGATATTTCCAGTTTAATCTTACTTAAGAGATAAACAAGGTAAGATAACCGCATGATTCTAGTTTTGAGAGATATCTCTTTAATACATAACTATAATTGCATGACTTTGCTATACCTAATCTTAACAAATAAACCATTCATTTTACATCTGTCTTAAAAATTATCAAATCATAAAGTGGATAGTTTATCAATTAAGTGATTGATGACATAATGGGAACAAATATTTGGAGGTGTAGACTTAATGACAATGACAGTGAATATTAAAAGTACTTTAGTCAAACTTTTATTAATTGTAGGTCATACGGAAAATTATAATAGAGTGTAAGGTCATTGTATCCCATTAACAAATAACCCTAAATGTAAGAATGAACTTGTAACCTTCTGTAAATTAATAGAAACCTTGAATCTCGCAAATCTGTACAACAAATTAAAAATGTCATAAATCCAAGAAAATTGATAGTAATTTTTAGTAATTTTAAAAAAATACAGAATTTATAGAATATATTAAAAATTAATGGCACAAATTCACCATATGCCGATGTCTCACCCAGGAAATTTTAAATTGGAGAAATAATACAACAAAAATGCCTTAATTTACTTAAATACCATTCTAAATATTGCAGTTGGATGATATTTAATATTTGTGCATCTCTAAAATGTGCAAATAGCACTATTGAATTAGTTTGCGTTGTCTTATGATCGCAATACTGTTATAATAAAATAAAATAAACAGTACTTAATTAATAAAATAGATATATGCAGTCTAAGACAATATAATTATTTATCTTAATCATTGAAAATAATAAGTCGGTTAACCAAATAAGTTTTGCTTCACTTAGCTAGTTCAAGGTTTAATATTTTTTTCTTCTGTATCAATTTATTTTTTCCACTTGTCCCAACTTCTAGACAAAGTACATTTCACTTTGACAAATTTAGTAGTGTATTCTGTACATATTCAGGAATTTGAGTATGTACATATCAGGTGAAATAAAATACAAGATTAAGAGGGTACTTCTAGATAACAAATTTTTAAACAATTGTCTGAAACTGATGTACAAGATTAGATAGAAATAACATTGCACAACTTTTTATGAAAATTCGTTTTTCTTAGACATATCTTTACAGCTGCGATTTCTAATCGACAAACGCCATTTTAGTAAAAATATGTATATGTACCTTGTACCATTAAAATGAAATATCAACAAATAAAAAATATATATTATGGTTTATTTGCTAAATAATGACAAATTAAAATTACTTTAGTTTTAAAAATAATTACCACAGCTATTATCTGGCTATTAAGTTTAAAATTATTTATTATCAAGTGTATTCTATGAGCGCTATCATAGCAGTTTATTCTTAATTCTAGTATATATACAGTGTGTCCCAATTTATAGATTTACGGGCCAATCATGCAGTAAGCAAAAAACAAATGAAAATCGATAATGAATTCCTATATAATAATATATTTTTTAAATTTCCGTATCAAAATAAAATATTAAGAAAAAAATTGGTACTTTCAACTATGTTGGTTGAAATACAATTCAGAATTAGATATATTGGATATATCGATGCAATATCATATGATATGATTGACATAATTATAAACTGAGAAATATACTTAGATCTTCTAGTATTTTGCTGAGTTGAATCAAGATAACGTTTAATTTAACTGTGTGCACTTTGAAGATTTAAATAAAAAAAATTGTGACTAACAAGCAGCGGCGGTTGGTGAAAATTTAAGTGGTCGTATTCTGATAATAAAACTTGGGGCCGACACCATTTTGCAGGGGATGATTTCTAAGCCCACTAGAGAAATTTCATGGCAAAAACCTGCTGGAAGATATTTGCGAAATAAATGGAATTGGTGTCAACCCTGAGATCTTGAAAACGGTTGCATATTTTTTTCTTAAGCAACTGATGGACACGAACAGCCTTTTTTGTTTTTTTAACGTTTCCGTTTTTTTATAAAATTACAGCATTACGATCATCGTGTACCAAATTTGATTTTTCTATGTTCAAGTATAACTGAAATATTGATTGAGCTTAGTATAAAGATAAATTGCGTTAAATCACCATATTTTGGGTTCCCCTACAGGCCCCGGCTCTGTGCCGAAACACCCTGTATAACAAAAAAATCAATATTGTGAAAAACGAAAAAAAAACTGCATCTATCACTTCAATTTTCACTATCAACCACTGCTGCCAAGACTAACACTGATCAGTTTGTAAACTAGGCCATCTCAGTAGTTGTGATTTTATTACACTTGTTACAGGGATTATTTTTAAGCCTGAATTTTATTATTTATTTGTAGAGGAACGTTGATGTTACAGCAAGGAATCCTCTTAAATGATCCTGCAATGCTGCAGGTAAACGTGGCCGCAATATTTTTGAATATTTTATACACCATGTTCTACTACGTGTACTCGCCAGATAAGGTCCGCGACGTATTAAAACCTCTCGGGATAGGAGCAACGATCGTAGCCGTATTTCTAGGATATGCTCAAATCGAAGATCCCGAAAACCTCGAATTCCGTTATGGGCTAATAGTAACTGTTATGATGCTGTTACTTTTGGGATCGCCGCTGTTGCAAGTGGTAAGTATTCGTTACGTACGTTATTTCTATTTCCGTGAACAGAATGTGTAAAAAAATTCTGATCATTGAAATTTTGTTCCATCGATTAAAGATAGAAATGAAATAGTTTACTCTTTAAATATTATATTTAATGCACTTGTCTTGTACTTTGACTTATCTCTACTTTAATTATCTCTAAAGTCTCATCGTCACTGTCAGTAACAGATCAGATTATGAGTAATTGCTATAATTCATTTGATAACCTTGACATAAAAAAAACGATGTACTTAAGAATTGATTTTAAGAACTGAGTCTTGATTAAGATATGATAAAAACTCATAGCTTTTAAGGAAAAATTTTTTAAGATTAGCCTTGATCCATACCAGTTTGTGCAAATTTATTGGAAATTGGCATGTCTTTGTCGGCATTTTCCTCTATTTCCATTCGTTTGTTTACTAATTTATCATAGCCTTTTTAAATTTCGATTTTTATAAAGTTCACTTTTAACTTAATAAATTGCCATCTGTATAAATTCTCCCCAAAATTCTTTATTTCCAACTGTACATAAAGCTATTTATTTTTTAAAACCGTTCGAACAACTGTAGTTGAATGACACTATTCATTTGTTACGTTGTACAACACCTTCAACCATCCACATACAAGTTCAGACCTGTTTGAGTAAGTCACGCATTGTACAAATAATTTCAAACAAGCTCGAATTTACTCAAACTGTTGCGCAACGGCTCCAATCAAGACATACATGATAAAAATGTTTGCACAACGCCCTCTGTTGTGCAAATTGTTTGATCGTGTATGGGGCCTATAACAATTTTAAACTCATTTAAAATGGGTGATATATACATTAGATATTTGGGTTGTAATTCAACACTGAATTAGTTAAAAACTTTGCTTAATGCAACACTAGTCATACTTTTACAGTACCGACAGATTAGTAGGTCACTTGGTGTCAACAGATACAAAGCTATGATTTGTGCTGGTAGGCAAGGAATTGAGTTTTAATGACATTTAAAATGCGACATACTTTATAGGTTACTTCTCACCCGCACTCAAAATATATCGACAGATACATATCCAAATATCTAAATCATTTGTCGGTTTTTTTCATTTGCGGTACACTGATAACGACTAATAAGTTTGAAACTGGTCTACTCGACTGTTTACAAGATATTGCATGTGTAATGCTGGAGGGGACATGTAGTCGGCAGAGTAGTTGTTTCCTACGTCATTAGTTAGAATGTTATGATGTTTACAATTTTTTTTGTACTGTATGTAAACTTTGGTTATTTCTTTGTGTTGCCTAACAAATTTTAGTTAACGTAAAATACAAACGAGTTGTATTTATTATTATGTAATGCAATTAACACCAAAGTCAAAGATAATAAATAAATTACAAGATATATTATATTTTTGTAAATTTATTGCTCTAAGATTTCGGTTGGAAAACAAGCTATCTTAAATTTCAGTTGGAAAACGTGCTATCTCAAATTAAGCATGGAAAATATGCTAAATCAGATTTTCAAGTAAAAACATGCTATCTCAGTGCGGCTAGAAATTTAAGTTGGCACATTGAATGATTGAAACCATGCATTTATAATAAACTTATATAATATATTTTTAAAAAAGTAAGGAATGTTTATGTTCAGGTACACTGTTTGTTTTATTTTTTTATTCAACATTTTTCAATTAATTTTGTTAAGTTACTGTTATAAATGACAAAATTGTTGTCATTTTATGTTGTAGGCAATACAAATTTACAATTTAAGATATCTAAAGTCATATTTCACCAAATTGTTAACTGTAAAATAACGGTTGAACGTGGAAAAATCAGTTTTGGACAATTACGCATTATTATTGTAAAAAGCCATGGATGTTGATGAAATTTATGGAAAAGAAGGTCAATCCGATGACCAACTTGTGCCAAACGCTGATTCAATTGATCGTGAGTGTTGCTCAAGCTATTTGTTAATTAATTTCGCTTGTTTTTTTATAACTAATTGTTTAAGAAAAATTTCAAAAAGTTGTAATTAAATAGCCCTTTACAACTAACAAAGTAGGATGTGCAAAACTGCGTTATAAACAAATTGTCCCAGCCAGCTTCAGGCAAATGCCGCTCGGGAATTTGCTCTTTTTGCATTAAATAGAGCTTATTTTTATGGTAATTTAAGATAGGTTTTGTTTATAATATTGATACAATTAAGGAAAAGGTTAAACTTTTATTTTCAGAAAGTTTTATATAGATAGTAATAAAAGCGCAAGCAGCAGTAAAAGTTAACGTTAATGAACAGCCTGCTCGCGAGAGAAAGAGCGCCGAGCCCACCCACATTGCGCGCGAGATTTTTTACTTGAATGTTTCAAATTCGGTTTAAAAATATGATATTCGCGTTCGACCTTTATTTTACAGTTAACAAATTAGTGAAAAATGACTCTTACGACATAAAATAACTAATTTTTCGATAGGTCGTCTAGATTTTCGTGGGCAGTAGGAAAAGTGAAAAAACACGTAAAATATAATGAATCATAGGTTTGTATATTTTTTGCTGTTTCAGAGGGGTATATTAGAAAAGAAGGATGCCTCTTCCATTCCATTCTCTCTTACGTTTATGGGAACACTGGTAACTTTCCTGTGGTTGCTGTACGGAATCATTCTAATGAATGGATTCATGATCGTAAGTTCCTTTTCTAAATTTGCGCATCCTTATATGTTTTAGTTCTCTATCTAAAGTGTTATTATTGACCTAGAACTACACATAGAGCTTAAAAAACTGCCGACATATAAAAACTTATATAACATCGTAATTCTTGACGATGTTATACATCGTAATTCTAATAAAAATGTATCTCTTTCAGTTACAGAACGTAATCGGCTTCATTTTGTGTTTGGTCCAGCTGATATTGATACTGGTGTATCCTGCTCGAGAAGGTCCGAATAAGAAAGAATCGGTAAAAAAGACCGATTAACGTGACAACTTAGGTTCTAGTTCAATTTTTTAATCAATTTAATTTTTATATTACAGGGCGAAATAACTCTGAATAGGTAATTGATTGAGCTTACCCGGAAGTATTTGTTATTAAAATATTTATTATTTGTAAAACGTAAATAATATTTTATTATATAACTTGTCCACGGACCAAATGTTAAACTGAATAGTTTTAATTATACCATTTGTCCTTAATACTTCCTTTTTATTGTTTGCGCGTTGTGACTTTCGAGTATAAAAAAATAGTGATTCATATCGTCACTGTCACTGATAAATATGCAAATTGATGTTAAAAAAAAATTAAATGTGTTTCTGTAGAAAGAAAATTTGAAAATCAAATGTACAGAAGAAATCGACTCTTACAGCTGCTGTACTGGGTATTTTTATTACATAACCTAGCTCTTCCGCGTGCTATCCATGATATACCAATGTATGTGGCTGATAACAAACAATTTGTACCTAAGTCCCATCAGTCCAAAGTCATCAGTCATTGACGATGATTAATTGAGGGCATTAAAGGTTGTAAAGAAACAATCTACTCTTAAATACTATTTATTAAAATAAATACTGGTACATATAAGGTAATAAAATTATTGTCATTCCTCATTACTTAATTAGCAATCCTTATTTATTTTTTCCAAACGAACTAATACAGGGTTTTAATTGTCAGTGTTGCGAGAAACAACTACTCCGAGGGCTATATGCCCCTACCGGCATTGAATTATACTCGCAACACCTATTGCAACAGCTAGGGTCGTTCGTCAGTTTAACCCACCAGGCACAGACCGGTTTCGGACTTATTAGTCCTCATCAGTGTGTCATAGGTGAGACAACCAACTAACGAACCAGCTGTTTTGCATCGTATCGTCACAACAAGGAAATAAGTACACGGGAGCGCAAATGGCTCCGGAGTAGTTGTTTCTCGCAACACTGGCAATTAAAACATTGTCTTCGCCCTCTGTGGGTGGCAGTCGTGCAACAAGTACCTGCAATATAGCAGGTCGCTTCCTACTGTAGCCATTTGAATGGCACAGTTGGGAGTCAGCACGGCAGATGGAGCCATTTGCGCTCCCGCGTACAATAATATACAGGGTGTTCCACCTGTCTCACTGCCTATTGAGGATAAAAGTTGTAGCAAACTTTATTTTTTTTGCAAAAACAATTGAATGCATTGAGATTTTGATCCATCGTGGAAAATATGAAAATATATAACCAGTGCAACAGACAAGCTTTGAATGAGCCACTGAGGTGTATGTTATATACAAGTTTTGCTACTTTTCGAACCTTAAAATTGGCCCATAATATCAGGTTCTCGATAAATTCTAACCTCAAAGTGCGAAAAAAAACATGTTCGCTATATTTGAGGTTATAGGTATTGAGGTAATTTTTCTTCACAAAACTCATTATTGCATCTGAAAGCATCACTCTTCCTCAAAATTCGTTTTAAATCATTCGAATATCCCTTTTCCGACATATTTTTTTGTTGAAATAGAAACAGATAAGACAAAAAGGGAGAAAAATCAAAATACCCAACACCTAAATTCTTAGTGGTTCTTCGGCTTTTCAGTGTCGGTGATTACGAATCAGAACTCAGAATTACAAAATTCAAAATGGCGGATCCAATATGGCGGATAGAATAAACAGTGTTGGAATTTAAAAATGAAAACAGTTCGACAAATTTCGAAAACCAAGAGAACTAGTGGAATTTAGTTGTTTGTAATTTAGTTCTTCACTCTTTGTAGGTATAATACTTTCATATGGCATAACGTTTCTGTGAAGGATAATTACTTCGCGAACTAACATAACCTCAAACATAAGGAAAACAGTGTTATGGTGGTTACATTTTGTCGGCATCCTAGGTATAATTTTATCTTTAAAATTCGTATTATGAAAATTATGGAAACATTGGTGAAAAAAGTGTAAAAAAACCGCAGATATAAATAGATTACGGTACAATTTGCTTGTTATTTATTTTATACAATCGCAGAATTAGAAAATTTAAAAAAATTCCAGTCGCACTTTTTTGCCATGTCGAAAATTACATGGTGCATCACCCTGTATAATCAAATTTTCTTCTATTTCTAATAATTTTTCTCAAGATTGAATTTCAATGTCCACTTCTATGAGGTTTCGTCATGAAATTAATAAAATAATACTTTTTTTAACTGTGCTTACAAACTACTTTCTACAAATATTTAATAAATAATATAAGTACACAGGGTGAATGAGATTTAAAACGAAAAATGTCTCATGATAGTTTCTGATATCTCTCAACGTCAATTTCGATATTTTTATTTTGCATTAGGGCAAAATGGTACTCGCAGACATTTAAACTTGAGCATTCTTGGAAAAAATTCAAATTATTTTTAAAACTGTTCACCTATTTTCAGATCTGACGTTAATTCGACTCACCCTGTATAATACAGGCAGGTTATATTTATTTGAAGTAAGTATAATTATATAAAATAAGTTATTTATTATATGTATGTATCTCCTTTATTTTGTCCAACACATTCAGTCTTCAATAATTTCTTTGGAATATTTTTTAACAGACGATTTAAAAGATAGAGAATGAAATTATACATTAATATTTATAACTAGGGCTGTCAGAACTGAGACGCAGGACATAGAACGGATAGGAGTTAATAACGCAACATCCGCGCGATAACATAGGCAACAGTATACTAATGTGACTTGAACGTGAAAAGCATTCTGAGGCAGCGGCTCGAGCATGTTTCGGTTGACCCGCTTGGCACGCCATTTAATTGCGGCTCTCTCTGACAGCCCTATTTATAACCTATTACTCCTACATATCTATGAATAATGGTAATTATATGGTAATTTATATAATATACAAACTGACATACGAAATATTTTTAAATAGAGTTACAAAAGTAACAAAAAGATCATATAAACTAACGTTCACAAATGCTTCGTTTTTTATTTATAGGATGTTAAGAATTAGGCACTAAAAAAATTTAATTTATTCCTACGTCGAATTTTGTCGTATATGTAGAAAAATTTTAGCAATACGCATTTTTTATTATTTTTATTATGTTTTAGGATATCTGTTAGGTAAGTAGGTACTTTATTATAGTTCTCAAACAACAAAATTTAACTTTCTGCATGAGTTGCTACTTTTGCAGAGAATGTAGTTTAATGGGAAATATCAATACAGGTAGGTAATCAAAATCACAAAGACAAGCACTTGAGCAAGACGATTAATACAAATGAAAGCCAATGTTTTTGTTGTTAAACTTTTTTGGTGTCTATTTAGTAATTAGTAACGGGTTATGTCACATTATGGATATCGATATACAGGGTGTTACAAATTAGTAGGTCAAGCAGTTAACCGCATATTCTTTGGAGTAAAATAATGGGACTTTTATTACGTCACTTTTCAAACTTAAACTTTAAAAAATGATTTTTATTGATAACTTCGGTGATTGTAGAAATATTTATACGAAATTTAGCACGTAGTTTGATCTTCAGTTGGCACACTTTTTGTGTAATTTTGATTTAAAATGTCAAAATGCCAACGGAGGAATGGGGGGGAGGGTTGCAGTACCTATGAACCCTTTTGTGTACGCCTATGCCTTCCGAATATTTTTTTTTAGATAAAGCGTTGTTTTATTCTATTTTTTCACTCTTGTAAGATTTTAATTTGGGCCTTGGTTACGAGATATTGCAACTTTTTTGAATACGCGACATCAACTTAGTCGATGTCGCGTATCCAAAAAAGTTGTAATATCTCGTAAACTAGGTCACAAATCAAAATCTTCACAAGAGTGAAAAAAAATAGAATAAAACGCCGCTTTATATTAAAAAAAATATTCGGAAAGCATAGAAAAAATAGAATCCATGGGTATTGCAACTCTCCTCCCCTCCGTTCGCGTTTTGTTATTTTAAATCAAACTTACAAAAAAAGACTTTAGTACACAATATGTGCCAAAATTCAAATAAATATATCTCCAATCACCGGAGTCATCAAAAAAATTTATTTTTAAAATTTTAATTTTGACACCCTGTATTTTGAAAATGGGACTCCGAAATGAAAAGTGACATACGAAAAGTCCCATTATTTTAGTCTAAAGAATATGTGGTTGACATGTTGACCTGTTAATTTGTAATACCCTGTATATTACCTAAAAGAATACTAATTGTCTATAATTTTTCAATTCTTCCACTGGATACCAAATATTCAATTTGACAGCAATAAGTTCGATTAAATGAAATTTAAATGGAATTATAGATTTAATAATTCTCGAAAATCTAAAAAATAACAAAGAAGAAAGAACAGGAGGAAAAATTAAAGAAACCCGAAATAAAAAAAACATTAACATATTTTTCTAAATATACGACTGGAATAAATCTCAATGAATATGAATTTAACAAATTTTAACAGAATCAATATAGTTGCAATCGGGATGCCCTCAAATTCCAAATTAGTAAAGTTCAAGCAAAAATTAACAAAAAGTATATTTTATATAAACGACAAAAGAAACAAAAAATTTCTCACGAAATAATCAATTTCAATTTTCTACAACTAAAAAAACTATTCTTTAGCCAAATTTCAACATAAAAATGAACTAAAAAAAAACGAGTTCATGAAATATAAGCATTTTTTTGTAAATTCGCAATCTTCAGATTCCATGACTGGGATACTTGCCATAAAACAAAACAGCCTGATATAAGTCTTGTCCCGTATGTTTCATTTCTACAAATTATCGTTAACTGGCAATTAAAAAAAATGTAAAAGTGAGAATTTGGTGGGCATACCAGTGTTTTTTTTTATAAATTTTTGTGTAAAATAAAGTAATTTGACTATAGTGTGTATCTCAAAAATGAATCCTGAGAAGGAACTTTTTTATTTGTGTGAAAAAGACATTATAAAAACACTTCGATATTACAAAAGATTTGTGCTTTGCTTGGGGCATTTTCAGATATTTCAAAAAGTTAACCCGCTGTATATAAAACCATTAATGTAGTAACATTTTTAAAAGTTTGAGGAAAAACAAGGATTTTAATAATGAATGACATTTTCTCATAAATTTAAAAAGACAAGGTTTTCTTCTTCAGGGAGACACACTATACAGAATGATTCACAAATGGTGACCAAAAATGAAACCTCGTATTCTTTGAAGAATTTTGAGGGGTCTTTC